GCCCCGCCCCTCCCGGCGGCCCCCCACCCCTGCGCGCCCCGCAGGCCGGGAATCGCCGGGCCGCCGCCCCCGCCGCCGTGCGCTCGTGCGCTCGAGGCCGCCGCGCGGGGCTCCCGCGCTCCCGTGGGCGTTGGGGCTTTCCCCGGGCGGGGCGGGGGAGGGGAAGGGCGGAGGGCTCGCGGGGGCTGGTGGTTTTGACTCCGTCCCCACCGTTCCCCTGGCCGGTGCAGCTTTACGTTTTCTCTTCACCTCCCAACCCTGCTTCTTGGCTTCGGAAGTGAAACCCAAGTATCTGGGCTGGCCAAGGCCGAGCGCACCAGGAGGATCCCTCTGCTCTCTGCTCGTGGCTCCCTATTCCCTCTGGTTCATGGCTCATGGGTTTATGGTGGGTAGTTCCGCCCTCATCCCCCTTGGCCCTTGAATAGCACCTCCACCCGCGTGGGTGAGCACAGCGCTGAAGAAATGGAAAGAACACGAGAATCGGCTTCTCTCCTAACTCATGCTCTAGGCGAGTCCTTCCCTCTCCTGCCTGTTCATTCATTCAGTTAGTAAACCCACATGAGTGAGCTGCTCCTGAGAGCGGCAGTGTTCTCTGACCAGGGCATCCGAGGTCATGAAGCTCCTAAAGCCTGCATTCTAGACGGGTGGAACACAGTAACGGAAAAACAAACATAAACAGTCTAATTTCCAATACTGGCCAATGCTTTGAGGAACAAAATAGGCTGTTGTGCTAGAAGTGGGGAGCTTCTTTGCACTGGCTGGAAGACGACGTTTTGAGGTGAGACCTAAATGACAAGCTGGAACAATTATGTAAATATATACAACAGCCTTCCAGGCAGTGGAACAGCAAGAGCGCAGGTGAAGTGTGCCTGGACCTTACTGAGTGCAGAGGCGAGTAGAGGAAGGGGAGGCCGCAGTGAGGCGGGTTCTGCGTGTGTAAAGCCGGGGCAGAGGACAGGGGGCGCCGTGCGCTCGGAACCCAACTCCTCCCCTCCCTTCCCCATCGCCACCGTTACAGAAACCATTCCTTCCCGCTGCCCTGTGGTACCTGGTGCCTCCGGTACTTCGCACTCTCTCCCCTCCTGTCTGCTGGCTTGGGTGGAGGCAGGGGCTCTGAGCAAGGCCAAGTCAGGGATCTATCCTTAGAGTCTAAGGAAAGAGTGATCAGAAGGCCTGCAATGGAATGCCAGCTCTGGATTTGCCTGGAGGAGTCGGCCAAGGAGAGTGAAAGATAGAAGCGAAGGGGACAGGAGCAGAAGGGAGGGGAGGACAGATGGGGGAGTGGAGGAGGGGCGAACGGATGGGGGAGGGAAAGAGGGATGGAGGAGGAGAAGAGACAAGGAAGTATGAGTGTATGGGCTGGGGAAGGAGGAGGAGGACCTTTATGAATGACCGTCTGGGCAGAAGCTCAGAAATCTCAGAACCAAGGAGGGTAGAGTCTCAAGAAGGGACTTAAACTACGTACAAGGCTGAAATCATTAAAACAGTGTGGTATTGGCACCAAAATAAAGCGCTTGATGCAACAGAATAGTTTGCTGGCAAAGTGACTCCAGTATGAGAACTTAATACAAAACAAGAAGAGTTATGACAACCCGATGGAGAAGGATTATTCATTGGTCAGTGGGCTGCAGGATGGGTTTTGTGAAGCTTGCATGAACTGGCATATGGAAACGTGATTCCATGCACCCTAGGACCCTTGTAAATGTTTACCCATAGATGAGTGGTCAGCCATGAGTTGGAGCATGGTAGGTAACTAGTCAGTGCAAACTCTACAAAGGAGAAAAAGTGAAGAGAAAGGGAATTGCCTGGGTGAGAAAAGCTCCAAATGGAAGCTGAGCTCTCCAAAGCATGCTCCCGAAATTTGTTAACCCTCCACCACCCACCACGCCAACACTGACGTGTACTTTCTCTCCCAGTCCAGTCTCAACAACCTGGCCAACCACTCTGCCCTTCACATTGATTTGAGCACCTTTTCTGACGTTGTCCTTCCTCCTCCATCCCTTCCTGTTTTATTTATTCATTACATGTATAATGATCATATTTGCATTTTGTTTACTTGTTTACTATTATCTTACCAAGCAAGAGCGGTGACTCAGCATCCTATCCCTGAAGCCCAGAAGAATGCCTGTTACATAGAAGGTTCTCGGTATTTATTTACAGCGTGAATGAATGAGGAATAAGTGAATGAGGAATGCAAAGCCCCCAGAACAATGCCGGGCACCCAATGAAGACTTCACTGTCTGGTTGTGTATGAAATTTTGGTTTTTGTCTTCTATCATTGCGAAAGTCTTTATTCTTAAGAAGGCTTAGTACTTGTTGCAACTTAGCAACGTGGTGACAGAAACATTTGACAGTGCTTGAAAGCCTCACTGGATAAGCATAAAAGGAGACCAGTCAAGGACCACATAGAAAGAAGACATGAGAATTCATTACTGTGCGATTAATCAAAAGTTCAGATTTCCAAAATGACAGCCTGGACCCTCAGGCCCATGCAGAGGCTTCTATTTTAATGAGAACCGCAGACTGTCAAATATGAATCTTTTAAGATCAAGTGCAGGGGCTGTGTTCATACCTCCCGTAAATGGTGAGGTAGAGTCAAGATCAGATTCGTGACTCTGATCCGATTGAATCCAATGATAGGGAAACTGCCAGGTGGTTTGGAAATTGATTTGTTTCAATGGTTTTATAATCCACTGGGGAGTGTGGCTCAGATTTCTAATAAGGGGTTTGGAAATATCATTACAAATGGGGTGTACCTTGAGCGCCATTTTGGGGGCTGTGTAAACTCAACACTCTATAGCACAGATTCCAGCTAAAGGAATCCAAACATCCTCTAACCCATTGAAAGGAATCTTCTTTGAGGCCTAAAGTCCCCAAGAGCCTCAGGTACTAAGCAGGTGTTGGTACCAAGACAGAGTTCCGTGACAGAGTATCTGCAAGGGCCAGGGTGGGGGCGATGGCGCAGACAACAGGACATCCCCGCCTGGCGTTGCAGCCCAGCTCCGTACAACCTCCATGTGTGACCTTGAAACCCAACCGCATCCTAGGCCTCACATTAGCTACCTGTTCCCCATCCTCCATGCCTTTGGTTTTGTTTTCCATCTTCCTGGTTTTCATCTCCCTGCACATCTGGGTGGATAAACTGTTTCTCCCTTGCAGGTGAGGAGCCTTCCTGAGGATGAGTAAGGAGAGACAGCCAAAAGAGCGTCTCTGAGCCTCAGTTTCTGTCTCTATTGTAAATCCTTCTTCCCTGGGTTGTAAGTGTCTAGGGACGAGATGAACAGAACTATGCTTGATTGGAGATGAGGCTCTGGTGTTGATTGTTACTACCGTAATTAAATGAGCCGGGCGGGGTCTCAGTTTCCCAGGTACACGCTCATGGGGCCCTGCCTATTCTCTCACCCTGTTTCCAAAACACAATAAATCACTGTTTTAGACCTTTTTTAAATTTACTTTTATTATTTGTTGTGCAAGAAATGCATAGTAGTTGTAGAGAAATTAGGAAATATAACCAGCAAAAAGGCAAGGATAACAATTTGTCATCTCATTACCCAGAAGTCCCCTCTGTTAATATTCTGGTGGCAACGGCTGCCAACTCTACCACAGCATGCCTGACCTGCAAACAGCCGAGACCCCACCGCGCCCCCAATATGGCACCTTCCTTGAGGTCCAGCCAGCCACCTGATGGCAGGTTGATTACAATGGACCTTCCAATCATGGGCAGGGGGTGGGGGAGTGGGGGGATGTGTCCTCACTAGGCTAGACACATCTCCTGGATGCTGAATTGCCTCCCCTGCCCGTGATGCTTCTGCCAGCATCCCCATTTGGGGACTTAAGAATACCTTATTCATCGTCATAGGATTCCACAGAAAACCACTTCTGATCAAATAGTGTGTCCCCAAAATGGTTGCTCTGCACCTGGAAATAAATCTGCCTCTGGGAGGAGCCAGTGAGACAGGTGTTAGCAGCCAAAGAACCCTTTGCTTTTTTTGGAGGCAACAGGGCAAGCTCCAATTTGGGGTCTTGTAGCAACCCAGGCCAAAAAGAAAGATGCTTGGGAAGAAAGGATCCCATGCCTCCTCTAGATGTCTATTTTATTCTTGAAAAATACCCAACTACAGCAAATCGTCACATCTGGTGCCCTCTTCCTTTCTTCCATGCCGTTCCTTTTGTTTTCCTTCTCCTGGACTTCCTATCACTCTGCATTAGGGCAGATGAACTCTTGCTCCCTTGCAGGTGAGCAGCCTTCCTTGGAATGGATAAGAAGAGAGAGGCAGAAGGATGCCCTTGCACACGTCACCCAGAAGATGAGGGCAGCTTAACGTATGGAATTTAGACCCCAAAGACCCAAATTCTAGACCTGGCTCGTGACTTTGAGCTTACTGGCCTTGGGCAGGTTGCTGGGCTTGTATCTAGCCTCAGTTTCCTCATGTGTAGAATGGGACAGTGTTTCCTACCCTCCCTGTCTCAGACTTGGTCTGAGCACCATTTGGGATCCATGGTGAGGTAGAGCTTTGCAGCCTGTGATGTACTGTGCACATTGACTATGTTACTCGAAGGCGTCTGGACGTAGACACTGTGGAAGGCAGTTCAAGCCAGGCGTGATGGGGAATGAATGAGCTCCAGCCAAATGGCGCTCACCTCCACTCCAGATGGCGGTAATTAAAGGACTTAGCTTCAATGGTTCTCAGTTGGAAAAAGTGTTTCTTTTTCCTGCCTGGCATTTGCAATTTTTGTATTAACCTTTAAATTTATTTTGTGTGTTTCTTAGCGTCATTTTTGTCTTTTTCTTTTAAAGAATTATATTGGGTAAAACATTCAGTTCATCCATTGAATGAATCCATTCATTCATCCTTCCAGTGAGCATTTATTGATTACCTATCTCATGCATTGCTCTCTATCTGTG